TCAGCGGCTGTCGGCGCCCCCTGGCGGGCACTCGGTGAACTGCACGCAGGGGAGGCGCTCAGCCTTCTCAGCCGGGCTGACGGGCCAGGTCAGCCGTCCAGGAAGGAGCGGCAGCAGATCACCTAGCAAAAGGGATGGAAAGCAAGCAGTGCTGCTCTCCGGTACATTCGGCAAGGAGCTAGTTCCCAGTGTCCTGCCACGCAGGCTACCTTCCCGTCTGATAAACCAATGGGATGAAAGTGATTTCAACCTCCCAGTCATGTCCTTCGCCAACTGGCCAGTGCCTGGATATTCTCAGAGGATACCAAAGCACGTAGCACCATTCTCCAAGGACCTTTCCTCCACGAACACAAAACCTCTGCATTTCTGGGTCCGTTTATTAGCAGCGTTGCATTTTGAAGGAAGATGTACTTAGCTCGCACACAGGACTTGCTGTGCTGCAGGCCTTGCTGACTGAGAGTTGGCACACTGGGTGGGGCGGCACCGCAGCCAGTCCCCTCCCTCCCAGGAAGGCCTCTGGCCCAGTGACTTATAGCAAGAAACCACAGGCAATGAACAAGTCCACATATTTAATCTAGAACATACAGGACAATTTATTGAAGTCAATCTCAAGCAAAATCTGAAATCAGTGGAATGTCATTAAAAACCTTTCCAAATTAATCCTCATGGAAGCAAAAAACCCCCAACAAAACAAACCACATTTGAATTCCAAAGTATTTATAAAATAAAAAAGGCAACATCTCAGTAAATATAATATACAAAAATTGTATATTCCTACCAGCACAGACAGCAGTAAGCAGCTTAAATATTACAGGCAATCCTAAATACACGATAACGAGTCAACAATAAGCTATCTATATACAGGTTAACCAAGCTTTTCACACTCCACACTATGCAATAAAACATAGGCCAATCAACAAAATCCCCAAAATATATATCTTGAAGTCTGTGTGGCAACATCAAGTCGATATACAGTAATGCCCTAGTGGAACACCCCCAGGAAAAATGGTCACTAATCCTTTAGTGTCGAGCTTCTAGCCAAGTCACAGAAACTCAAAAGAGATTGACTTTAGTGAATATTGGTGCTTTGTTATTAAAGACTCAAGTCTCAAGTGATTTAGGTAAAATAACATTTCACAGGATCTACAAAGTTTATTACAGATAAAGTACAGAAATAACCAATCTACAAAGGTTGTTATCATAGATAAAGATCACAAGGAAATGAAAACAGAATCTGTAGGTATCTGTGTTTGTGCAATATCACAAGTGGGTAAAAATGAATTTCTCATATCAATTCAAATTTGCACACACCCTTGTATATAAAAAGAATCTTATTATTAGCCAGCTGTAATCATCATTTAGCAACTTGGTTGTCTGTGGCAATAATGATTTTCTTTTTTAACATAGGGTATGTGACAGCATAAATGAAATAAAGGGAGAGATATAAACAAATTTTATCCAGTCCACTTCCAAACTGACAAGAATACCTTATCAATACCTAATCCAGATAATCTGCATTCACGCATATCAGAAGTCTGGTGGGCAGGGAAGGGAGTACTAGAACCTGAGGGTGCTTCTTACCAATATGCAGATACAGTAACGTCACATAAGAAAACTAAGGACTGAATAAATGACTTTGGCAACTACTCATCTTTTCCCTTTTATTACATGTTAATGACTTTCAGAGGCTACCAAAAAACAGGTAACTCTCTCTTCCCCCTTCATACATATGTGCCACAGCACCTAACTGGTCACTTAAGCAATGGACTAACAAAAAAAAGAATGGAAATGGTTTTTAAACACACAGGTTACACCCAGCATTTCAAGAGTGTAACATAAGTGCAAATTCCCCCCACCCCCTTCCCAGGCAGGCATACATTAGAAAGAAATAAGAGGTGCTTAGGTTGACAAAATGATAAAGAACATACATAGGAAATATTCATCAAAATGCTGCTGGCGTCCCGTGCAGGAGTCTCTCCCTCAGATGTGTACATTAGATCTGAGAAACCTACTGTGAACACGCTCTCCCACTTGCAGAACTTCACCTTTAATCCGAGTGAAAGAGAAGAGACTAGGCTATTTTCAAAACAGTATATAAAACAATGCTTTCTACTTCATAAATTTTAAAATAACTGTTAACATAAGGAGAATCTGAAGAATTTCAAGTACTTAAAAAACCTGAATTCATGAGGCAGAGGTCTCAAAGTTAAAGTGACTACTTCGCACCTGTGGTAAACATCATCGCCCCCCTCCCTTACCCTACTCTCCCACCCCCTTTTCTCCCTGTGCCCCACCCCAGGTAAAAGTTGGTAGATTTCAGTATATACAAATTTCCAACTTTTCAATATTTGTCAATACATGACAAAGCTGTCTAATTCTATCTATGCCCTCGCTAATCTGAAAATGGGAGAAAGTTCTCTTCTTTGTTGACAAATAACCACAGACCAGTTCTATGTGGCCCTAGGTCAAAGGACATTACTCCAAATGATCATTTCGTGTCTGCAGCAACTTGGACAATTTGGGGGTGGCTAGATACATCAGCCTTGTAGGAAGGACGACAAGTCTAACTGCACTGCCCATGGAGCCACTTCCCAGGATCATCGTACCTCACGGACAAGCACGTCACACGTAGCTTCCCAAGCCGTGACTGTGTTCTTATCCTGCTGGGACACAGCACGCGGCAGCACCTTGACTTTAAGGTGAACGTTAAAGGAAGCTTTATGTTTAAAAATGAAACAAAAGACAAGCAATAAATGCTGGGTAGTCCAGAGATTACATTCTGTACAGCTGGCCTATGTATCTGTTTCCAAACTGCAGATCTGGTTGGACCCTGATTGGAACACATACCATGCAACAAACGACTCCAAAAGGAGGCCCTACTTCATGAACCAGGAGTTGCCCAACAACCTGCCCTGTCTCAGAGTCCTTTACATGATTACCTCAGAATTGCACATTATTTACAAATACTTGGGAATGGCAGAAGGAAACTGGAGCAGTCTTACCTGCCCCTATTATTATTATTATTATTATTATTATTATTATTATTTTAGTTTTGAGATATGTTCCTGCCTTGAACATACAAGTTTCGATGATTCTAAAAGTAAGCCTATTCTATAACTTAGGCCAGATTATTTTTGAGAATTAAGATAGAATGGGAGCTTGTTAAAACAAACAGGAAAGTGAACCCCACCTCACCCCTAATTCTAGCCCTGATTAAACACTGAAGAAGTGACTCGTGTCCTCGGGCTGCTTCAGCCTTCTCAGCCACTACAGGCCGCTCCTGCTGTCTCATGCCGGCCATGGCCCAACCCCTCTCTCACTGCACAGCGCCTGGAATTTTTATCAGGATTTCATCTTTAGTTGTTACTGATCCAATTTCCGATGCTTTATGATGATTATAAAAAACCTTATATTCACTTCTTCCTCCCAAGAATTAACATGAGGTTAAAAAAAATACCACCATTATCCCAAGCTGCTTTAAGTTATTTCATTTTGGACAATAATAAAAACCAACCATGTATGCTCTGACCACATACAGTTAAAAGTTAACAAATACCACCTCAGACTGAGTGAGCAATGTGTGTTTGGAGTATTTCATTGGGGAAGCACAGACAAGCACAGTGCATGTATACTATGCACATTTAAAGCACAATTTACTCTTTTTCTGCTTCCAGAACCTGCAACTTCTCATGTATTCAATAGTCAAGAGTAACACGACGGAGGTGTAAGAAGAGCTCCTTGGCACTGGCATGACTAAAACCACTTTTCAGACCATGAAAGAACACTCATGCACAGACCCAGAGCGAGGGTTAGCTATTTTGTTTTCTACCCTGATTTCTGAAATGTCAGAACAATCCTATCGGTCACCCCGCCCCCCAAATTAAGAAGGCTCAGCAGAGCTCTATTATAGATACACAAACAAAATGTGACACAATGAAGAACTGCATAAAAATACTTAAACCTAATGTATTTGTGTTTATAGACTAGACCCTGGCTTACCATATAAAAGTCATCAGATATCAAATAGCACTAAGGAGATAAGATTTCATGTTGGATATTGTTTTAACAAGAGTTACATTTTGAATATGAAAGGAAATCCTTCATGTTAGTAAGTTTAGAAAAGCAAACATTTATCATATATATATATAAAATAAAGTTTTAGTATGATAAAACCTAGATTTTCTTAAATTATTTTTTAAAAGGACATCAAGCTATATAATTGTTCAAGAGCAAAGGTTAGTGTTTTGGCGAGATGTAATCGATGTTACTTGCAGCAATTACAGTTGCTAACATGTATAGCATTTTCCATTTTGCTCTTTCTTTTGGGACCATATCTAATCAACAGAACTATTGGAGGCCCAATAAGTTACCTCAAAATTAATTGCCAGAATCAGGCAAGTGGCAGTTTAGGAGCTTAAGTAAAGGAAATGTAGTGTTGTTTTTTCTGTTTTGTTTTTTTCCCCCCACAAGACAAAATCCAGTATAATTGCACATTTACATACAAAAAAAAGAGAGGCACAAAA